AAGCAGTCCCGAGAGAGAAATTCAGGCCTACCTCAATAGCAATACAGGCCAACTCAAGAAAGAAGAAAAATTTCTAATAAACTATTTAACCCAACAACTTAAAGATTTAGAAACATAACAAAAAGAAAAAAACAGAGTTAGTAGAAGGAAGAAAATAATAAAGATAAGAGCAGAAATAAATGAGTAAGACTAAAAAAAAAACACAAAAAATCAATGAAACCGAGAGCTGGTTCTTTGAAAAGATAAACAAGATTGATCAACCTTTAGCCAGACTCACCAAGAAACAAAGAGAGAGGACCCAAATTAATAAAATCAGAAATGAAAGAGGTGAAGTAACAACAGACACCACAGAAATACCAAGGATAGTAAGAAAATACTGTGAAAAATTATATGCCAAGAAATTTGACAATGTAGGTGAAATGAACACATTCTTAGAATCATATAGTCTTCCAAAACTCAACTGGGAAGATTCAGAAAACCTGAACAGACAAATAACAATTAAGGAAATAGAAGAAGTAATCAATAATCTCCTAGCAAACAAAAGCCCTGGTCTGGACAGCTTCACAGGATAGTTTTACCAAACATTCAAAGAAGAACTATCACCTGTTCTCCTCAAACTATTCAAAAAAAATTCAAGAGAAAGGAAGACTTCCTAGCTCTTTTGATGAGGCCAACATAATCCTAATCCCAAGACCAGATAAAGACACTACAAAGAAATAATATTACAGACCAATATCCCTGATGAACATAGATGCCAAAATCCTCACCAAAATATTAGCAAATCAAATCCAGCAATATATTAAAAGAATTATACATCATGAACAAGTGGTATTTATCCCAGGGATGAAAGGCTTATACAATATTCATAAATCAATAAATGTGATACACCACATAAACAAAATGAAAGATAAAAATTATATGATCATATCAATAGATGCTGATAAAGCATTTAAAAAAATCCAGTACCTGGGTTAATCTCCAATATATATAGAGTGCTCATACAACTCAACAAAAGGAAGACAAAGAACCCAATTAAAATGGGCAGAGGAACTAAATAGACACCTCTCTAAACAGGACATACAAATGGCTAAGAGACATATGAAGAAATGCTCAATATCACTAATCATCAGAGAGATGCAAATTAAAACAACAATGAGGTATCACCTCACACCTGTCAGAATGGTATATATACACAATGGAATACTATACAGCTGTAAAAAAATATGTCTTATTTTTTGAGATGATATGGAGAGGCCTGGAGAATAATATGCTATGCAAAATAAGCCATTCAGAGAAAGTCAAGTATCACATGATCTCACTTATTTGTGGAATATAATGAACAAAATAAGCTGATGAACAAAATCAACCCAGAGATAAAGAAGTAAGGGTCAGACTGACAAACCACAGAGGAGGTAGGGGAGAGATAAGAGGTAAATGAAAAAATTTATATGCATATATGCATAATAACATAGACAACAGTACTGTGAAGAGTGGGGCAGGAATGGGGAGGAGGTTGTCAATGGGGGGAAAAGAAGAAACATCTATAACAACAACAAAAAGAGATTTCCACTCAAGTCTTCCTGTTCAAGTCTCCCTTTGTACCACCACTAGAGTTATCTTTCTAGAAAATTAGATTATTTCACTCTCCTCAAAAACTTGTTTGCTTATCTCCTATTTTTTATTTTCCACTTTTCTCCACTCCCTATATTTCTTTTTTTAGTGTTGTTTGTTGTTATTGTTGTTTTTAAATTTTTTTTCTTAATCCTCATTGAGATTATTTTTCCATTGTTTTTTAGAGATGGGGGAAGGGAGGCGGTATGGGGAAGAGAGAGAGAAACATTGATTGGTTTCCTCCCATACACACCCTGACCAAGGATTGAACCTGCAACCCAGGTATGCGCCCTGAACAGGAATTGAACTGGCAACCTATTGGTGCACAGGACAACACTGAACCAGCTGATCCACTCTGGCCAGGCAGTGGATTGTCTACTGACAATCTTGACACAGGATTGTCTACTTTTTGGTTTCCAGTCCTTTGCAGCACTTTCCTGGATGGCTGGATTGAATAATGACTCTTTGTCTAGCACTGCCTCAGCATCTCCCTTTCCTATGTGAGACCCTCTTAGAGGCAGTCCTTATCAAGTGTGGCCTGGCCCTGTGCTCACGTTAAGGAATAGTTTACACATCATCTGTTTTAGGATCCCAGATGATAATGTGAAAGAATTTGCTGGCATCCTGTAAACCATCTACTTTTGCTATTAGGTTTCTGTCTTGATTCAGCCACATACCTGATAGCTGTTTTCCCGTTACCCCTACCCCCAGAGACTTTGCCTTGTTCTCAGTCTTGCTGAAATACCTAAGCAACTTTTTACCCTTTATAATTCCTATGCAGAGTGAATTTCCTGATTTTCCACCTAAGCATAGATAAAGTGGACTCTTCCCCAGACTCAACAATGGGTTTGTATTATAACGGTCCTATTAAGAAATTTATGCCAAACGTACCAGCCAAACCATCTGGCATTTCTTTCTTTTCTTTCTTTTCTTTCTTTCCTTTCTTCTTTCTTTCTTTCTTTCTTTCTTTCTTTCTTTCTTTCTTTCTTTCTTTCTTTCTTTCTTTCTTTCTTTCTTTCTTTCTTTCTTTCTTCTTTCTTTCCTTCCTTCCTTCCTTCCTTCCTTCCTTCCTTCCTTCCTTCCTTCCTTCCTTCCTTCCTTCCTTCCTTTTTTTCTCTCTTTTTTATGTTTTTGTTGATTTTTTTAGAGAGAGAGAGAGAAACATCAATGTGAGAGAGAGACATTGATTGACTGCTTCCTGCACGCCCCCACTGGGGATCGAGCCCGCAACCTGGCTATGTGCCCCGACTGAGAATCGAACTGGGATCTTTCAGCCCATGGGAGGACACTCAATCCACAGAGCCACACCAGCCCGGTCATCCACCATTTCTTATAAGGGTTAAGGACTGTTAGTTATTAAGACATTGATTTCCGATTCTTATTAAAGGACATTTTTTTTTACTCTTATTTATTTTTTTGCAATTTTTATTAATTTATTTTTGTTACATATGTTTCTCCTTTCCCCCACTCGAGACACCCTCCAAAGGACTAAATTTTTACTGGCCTCATATAGTAATTTAGGAAGTATTTTGGTTTCTTCTATTTTTTTAAAGAAATATTTTGTGTAGAATTGACATTTTTACTTCTTTAAATGTTTGGTAGACTTCACCAGTGAAATATCTGGGCCTGTAATTTTTTTAGTGGGAAAATACTAAACTATGAATTCAATTTCTATATAAATAGAGGATTGTCTGTTTCTTTGGTAAGTTTTGTAAGTTTGTATCTTTTATATAATTTATACATTTCTTCTAAATTGTAAAGTTTGTTGGCATAACTCTGTAGAATTTATTTTTATTCCCGATATTGGAGATTTGTATGTTTTTTTTTTTATTTTTTGATTGGTCTAGCTAGAAGTTTATCTATTTTGTTGATCTTTTTAAAGAATACTATTTTGGCTTTGCTAATTTTCTTTATTGTTTGCTTTTTATTTCATTGATTCTTGCTCTCATTTTTATTTATTTTTATTATTTCCTTCATTCTCCTTTTATTTTTTTATTTTTTCTTTCTAGCTTCTTAGGGGAGAACTTAAGTCATTAATTCTTGACTTTCCTTCTTTTCTTATATATACTAAAAGTTATAAATTTTCCTCTTAGCACTGCTTTAGCTGCATCCCACAATTTTTTATATGTTATATTTTTATTATTATTTAGTTTGAAGTATTTTTAATTTTTCTGTTGCTTTCTTCTTGACTCATAAATTATTTTTAGTTATGATGTTTAATTTCCAAATATTTGCAGGTTTTCCAGATAACTTGTTGAAATTTATTTTTAATAAACTTCTGTTGTGATCAGAGAATATACATATTTTGTGTTATTTTAATCCTTTAAAATCTATTGAAACTTATGTACCAGCAAGTAATCTATCTTGATGAATGGCCCATGTATAGTTGAACATGTGCCTTATATTGGTAGGTATAGTGCTTTATTAGCATGTTTCATAGTGTTGTTCAGAACATCTATGTCTTTATTGAGTTATTGATTCATTATTTTGTTGTTGTTGTTCTTGTTAATCCTCACCCAAGGATATTTTTTTCCATTGATTTTTAGAGAGAGTGAAAGGCAGGGTGGGAGGATGTGAGAGAGAGAGAGAGAGAGAAAGAGAGAGAGAGAGAGAAACATCAATGTGGGATATATTCCCATGCCCCATCCGGGTCAGGGATTGAACCTGCAACTCAGGTATGTACCCTTGACTGGGAATCAAACCTGTGACCCTTTGGTGTATGGGCCAATGCTCTAACCACTTAGCAACACTGGCTAGGACAAGTTATTGACTAGTTTTTCTATTGATTGATAAAAGGCATGTATGTATTCCTGGCCTGTGTGGCTCCGTTCATTGGAGCATCATCCCCAGACACCAAAAGATGGTGGGTTTGATTCCCGGTCAGGGCACATACCTGAGCTGAGGGTTCAATCCTCGGTCAGGGTGCATGTAGGATGTGACCGATCTATATTTCTCTCTCTCTCTAAAACCCCCCTCTGACATGTATGTATTATAATATTAACTAAGTAAACTGTGAAAAGTTGAGGATATAGATAATAATTCCTGAAATGACTATATATTAATAAATGTTAGTAAAACTGAATTGAATTGATAGCACACTAGCCAATCCTTTAAAAAAAAAATCTTTTACTTTCTTGTAAGTATTTTTTGATAGGAAAGAGATTGGAAGTGGAGTAAAATGGAGATTAACTCACAGGAGAGGCTTTATTTTATTTTATTTTTTTGTAAAATTACAAGAATGACCAAATAAAATGATTTTTCCAGGAAGTTTGAGTATTAAAATTCATTCACTTTAGAACACAAACAAATTGTAAATAGTAGCCACTTTGGAAATAAGAACATGTTTAATTCAAAATTTAGAAATTATTAAAATGAATTATATTTAATAGCTGCTACAAAAGAGGATGACAGAATCTTAGAAGATGTCACAGATGAAACGCTTACTGCAGGGGAAGGATCCTATTTAGGGGATGATGACTCATATGGAGAAGATTTGGAAAGAAGTTCTAATTCCTTGCAAGATGACAGGGAAAGCACTGGAGGTAAGTATTATTTGTTTTCTATTACTAATGGTCACTGTTTTAAAGATAAATTACCCAAATTGAACAGTGGTAAATCCACAGAAAGAAAAATCTGCAGGATGTGTGAGGGTGGTAAAAGGAAAAGCATGAAACATGTACAGCTCTGGGGTTGTATTTCATTTCTGAGGCTCTCAAAGACAACTTTTATGCTCTGTCTTCTGGGGACGGGGTGGTCTCAGCAGTGCTCACCCTAGATTAGTGAGAGTAGCTCTCCCTTGGAATCGACTGGGAGTTGCTCTTTGAGACTGCAGAACCATGACCCAAGCTCAGCGGTCACCCTGATGCACGCAGGCGTGATGGTTCTTTCTCTCCTACTCACTGGTGGGTGGCAGCCTGTGTTCAGGCCCTTAGTGGTACTTGCTGCTAGAGTATTGTGGGATAGGATTCACCAAACACTCTTCTTACATAAAATATTTTAATTTTTTAGAATTTCGGCATTTGGAAACCCCTGGCTCAGCTGAAGAGGAGGCAGAGTTGAAAATCAAGACCATATCACAGAGCTTCTTTTACGATTACATGGAGCTGGTTTCCATACCTTATGTGTCTCCGAATTCAGGCATACCACTGGAACTTCTCATACTTGTGTATCCACTCCAGTTACACATGTATAATTTTGGCATTTCGGCTTCTTGGGTCAGGGGTTGGCAAACTACAGCCCGTGGACCAAATCTGGCCTCCCACCTGTCTTCCTACATAAAGTTTTATTGGAATACAGCCACACTCATTTATTTACATTGTGTCTGTGGCTACCATCACACTGTAAGGACAGAATTAAATAGTCACAGCTGAGCCCATCTGGCCCACAAAGCCTAAAGTATTTACTACCTGGTCCTTTCAGGGTAAAGTTTGCCAACCCTCGTCTTAGATACTTCTAAGAAGCTTGGCCCTTAGAGACTTTGAGATAGAAATGCGTGATCTTAATTTAAGCTTTTGTTTGATGCCAAGTAACCGTAAAGAGAAATGATGCTTTTCTGGCTGTCCTTTTGTGAGACATGATATGAAGGGGAACAGAGGCCTCATATCCCTGTTTACCTCCTCGACAAGCTTGGCATCCCTTTTTTGATTCCTGTCAAATTGAAATCATCGACTTCCCTTCTTGAAACACTAATATGGTCACTGTCAGGTATTAGTACATTCACATTATTTATCAGATGAGTTTTCCAAGGAGACAACCCCGAAAAAGTAGGGCACAAAAATAATAAGTTGTAATTGGTCTGGGGCATAAGAGTCTGTGGGGATTTTGTGTTGGCCATGACTTTATGGTGTTAGGTTTGCAAGGTGGAGAGTTAGGAGACAATCTCCATTATGGCCCTTGGCTAGCAATTTAATATGCCTACATTCAGATGGGCAGTGGTTATGCCCACCTGGCCTAGACCACTAGCTGGCCTCTTATAAATGGTGTGCTTGCAGAGGTAGGGTGGTGTGTTTTGTGACTCAGTTTTGCTTTTTACATAGACATAGAACATGTTGTTATAGTTTCTAACTCTGTTTCAATCCCAGGAGTAACTAAAACTAATTCACCTTGAATCTTATAAGCTGGAGTTTTCTCCCTTGAGTGCTTGCTTTTGTATTTGTTTGTTTTTTTGTCTTTGAACAAGTTACTGACAAAAGTTATGCTCTTAGCTTTCTTGTAGCCTATTTTTTCAAAAGGGGTGGTATGTGAGAATCACTGGAAACTTTTCCTGAAATATACATGTTCTGATAACCTCCTGGACCTATTTTCATATGCAGAGGGGCTTGGGCTTATGTACTTTGACAAAGCTTCCCATGTGTTATTCCCTAAGAAATTTAAAATATTATCTAAGTCAGAGTTTGAGGATTTTTCACATAATTTAAGGCAAAATTGTATTAGTGATACGTTAAAAAAATTCTGAGTTTCAGAGTAAAATTCAGCCCCAGATCTTTACCCAAGAGTAGGGATTTTAAAAATATATTAATTTCATGTTAGTTTCCCTGTCTCTAGGATGGTTACATGGCTTCACTTCTTTTCCTTAGCGATGTTTTCTCAGACATTCCTTTGGTTATGACTGCAACAAGCGGGCCAACCTGCAACTTCTGGACAGCAACACCATCATGTACATAGCTGGGAACCAGCTGATCCTTCTGAATTTAAAAACCAAGGAACAGATCTACCTGAGAAGTAGCAGTGGTACAGGAATTGGTGCCATTGGGGTATGCCTTTAGTAACTTAGAAAAAAAATTTATCTTCTTTGATGGTTTGTTCTGTGGACCAGCCAGGTAGGTGCCAGCACCATGCACAGATTTGTAGGATCACCTGAGATGCGCAGCAGCCTTTATTCTGAGGCATTCTCAGTCATTACAACCATAACACCCACTGGCACTCTCTCTGTGCCCTATTGCAATATTATATTAATAATATTATCATCCCATTTTTTAGATAAGGAATCTCGGGCTTACGCAAGATAAGTGACTTCCCCATGATCATGCAGGTTTTATCACACCAAATGCTCTGTTGCTATTCTGCAAAAGTAGCGAAATCAATAACACAAATGATTATTCAAATAACAAATAGAGATAAATGCCAGATAAGATGTACGTGTATATAATTGAACATTTGGAGATGAAGGATAGATACACATTGAATAGTTTCAAGCAGATGACGAGAGGATTTGGGTGTGATTTGGAGCCTATCTTTCTCCTTTCTGCTCAGCTGTCTGTTCCCATCAGTCACCTTCTTTCTTACAGCATCGGCCTCTGCTTCCTAAGGCTTCTCATCCTCCGCATAAAAGCATTCCAAATTGACTAGTTCTCATTTTAAAAGGCCCCCCTCTTGCCATGCATTCTCTTTACCCACTTCATTTTGATCTCTAGAGCCCATTTCTGCTATCTTGTTGGCCCTCGCCTCACTGAAGTTGCCTTTGCAGAGGTGAGTGATGCCCTCTAAGGGACGAACCTGAAGAATGCCTTTCGAACTATATTTTTAAGGAAACATTTTTTTTCTTTATTGATTTTAGAGAGAAGAAGGAAGGGAGAGGGAGAGAGAGATAGAAACATTGATGTGAGAGAACATCATTGGCCCACAACCTGAGCACATGCCCTGACCGGGAATTGAACCAGTGACGTCTTGGTGCATGGGTTGATGCTCAACCACTGAGCCACGCTAGCCAGGCCTGAACTATATCTTACCTGACCTCTTCATAGCAGTTATCCCCATGATGAAACTTTGCCCTTGGCTGTTTTTCTACTCTGTGCTCCTTAGAAGTAGGTGTCCCGGGATTTGCTCTTATCAGTAACAAAGAGCCTGAGGGGCGCTTCTTAGTGTCTTCGGCCTCTTGAGAGGGGCATCTGTTCAGGTCATGCTGTGTGAGACAGTGAGGGAAGGGAGGAGAAACGTACAGGGTTTGGGGCTGATACAAGCAGTAATTCTGTATGAGACACTTAAGAGAGTTTCTAGAAAGATCATGATCCAAATACAGGTCTGTCCTGACCTCGCCCTGCCTGCCAGGGGTGAGTAGACCAGATGGAAGTGGAAGGTGCTGGGCCCACTCCACAGCACCTGCTGAGGCAGAGGGCTTCCAGCAGGAGGGTGAGGCTGGGCCACACGGGCAGGGAGTAGTGGGACACCTTTACATTAGATGAGACCCAACAGGATGTTTAGATTGTAAGTGCAGGTGAGTGCAGAGGTTTAGAAGATTCTTTTTTTAAAAAAATATTTTAAATATTAAATTACAGTTGATGTGCAATATTACATTAGTTTCAGGTGTACAGCCCTGTGATTAGACATTTGTATATTACGAAGTGATCATCCTGATAAATCTAGTACCCATCTGACATCACGCATAGCTATTACAATATTACTGACGTTTAATATTTAAAATCGATTTTTTTTTTTAAAAAGAATCTTCTAAACCTCTGCACTCACCTCCACTTGCAATCTAAACGTCCACTATTCTGTAACTACCAATCCCTTCACCTTTTTCATCCGACTTCCCAAACCCTCTCCCATTGGCATCTGCCGTGGAATCTTAATCTGAGGAGTGAAGCAGGGCATGGCAATGGGGGTGGAGAAGGTGAGGAAAATCTGAGGCCCACGGGGAGAACTTAGATTGGCTATGGAAGCAGGATATAGTGAGATGGACGCATCAAAGATAATCTCATGTTTATGTCTTATTCGATCGTCTGTCTAGACATAGCATGTGTATAAGATAAAGTCCCTGTCCTCAGGGAATGTGTTATAACACTGATGAATTTAGCAAGAATGTATTATATAACACTTAGTGTCCAATACTACTCTGAACATGCAGGGATTTAAATGAATAAGGGTTCGTGACCTCTATGAATTAAAAGAATTTAAAATCCATCTAAAGAGACAAAAACCATTTTAAAAAGCAAAACCTCCCAAACTAGATGTATACAAGTACATGATACTGTGGCAACAGGTGTGTACAAATATTCACAGGCCCAAATGTGAGGGTCTTGGGCTCTGTGGAGGGGGGTCAGTCCATTGAGATATCATGAGCCCCGAAGTCCACACCATCTACAGAGTACTGAGCAACATCTAGTGATCCCTTATTTTTCTATCACTCTATGGCCAACAATAGTTTTGAAATGCCTGTCTTTCTGCTTTGTTATACAATAATTTGGTCTGAGGTCAGTAGTTAGAGGTGGAGTATGGTCAAGGAACATCTGTAATACATTTTACATTCAACAATAAAGATTAAAAAAAAAAAGAGTGCTAACTGCAATCCTCACCCACCTGGGCTCTGAGCAGCTGTGTGTCCCCAGGGCTGTTTCTCTTGTGTGCTGGAGCTTCTGGGACTGGGACAGAGCAGGGACCTTTCTTCCACTGCGCAGGTCAACTTAATTTTTAAATACTTTGGCAAGTTTATGAGAAATCTGTGAGAAATGTGTTTTGGGGCAAATAAACTATTTTCCAGAAAAGACGAGGTGAATCTATATGTTGAGTGTAAATAAATGACTTACCGGTTCTGGGTCTCCACTAAAAATGAAACAAAACACCAAAACTCAACCCCACAGTAGTTTCCTACATGGAAGGGCAGAAACCTTTTCACTTACTATAGATAAGATCTAGAAGGAAAAAGAGTTGCCTGACTCCCCATTCAGATCTGAGACTACATATCTTACATAATATTTATTTGTAAACAGGGATCTAGAAAGATATAGTCTCAACCTGTATCCTCCTAAGTCCTTAGAATCTACTATTTTTTAGTTCCATTTGCTTGTTAGCTCTAACATCTGGCTTGAATCCTGTGTCTCATATTTACCAGCTGTGTAACTTCAAGCAAGTTACTTAAACTTTCTGTGCCACAGTTTCCTCATTAATAAGATGGAAATGCTAATGGTGTCCAAGCTCACAAGGTTAATGTGAAATGTAATGGAATTAACTCATATGACACTTAGATTAGTGTCTGGCATGTAGTAAGCACTCAATAAATGTTAGCTATTTTCAGCTTTATAATAATTCTACTGAGTGTCCATCCTTTCAGAGGCGGGGAACATTTTTTCTGCCAAGGGCCATTTGGATATGCATAACATTATTCTTGGACTATACAAAATTATCAACTTAAAAATTAGCCTGCTATATTTGGTTAGGCCAGTTTGGTGAGATGTGTGACGTTAGCTGGTATTGATTTCGACGGCCTTATATGGCTTGCACCCCAGATGTTCCCCACCCCTGCTTCAAGTTGAAGTGATAGGTATGTATTTGAATGGAAAAATAAGAGGCAACTTGCCAGTAGGAAGACAGCCTATCATAGGTCTTATTGACCACGTGTGGAGAGAAGAAAAAGAGCTGCAACATTATCTTGGGTACCAGAACTTCCAGTGCAGTCATGATCAGAACCCAGCTCCTTGTCCTTAGGTATATAATCAGGAGTTGAGAAATAGTGACTGAAAATGTATAAGTAGAATATGTGTTTGAAATAGCTTATTCTTATAGCAACCTATTTTTATTCTTTTTGGCTACCCATTTACTCTTTTTTAAGCAATTCATGTAAATGAGTAGTTCTCAAAGAGTGGTTTTCAGACCGCAGCATCAACATCACCTGGGAACACAGTAGAAATGTAAATGCACATCCTTGGGCCCCAGCCCTGATTTACTGAATCAGAAACTCTGGTGGTGGGACTTGCAGTCTGTGCTTAAACAGCCCTCCCCTGTGATTCTGGAGCACTCTAAAAGTTGAGAATCCCTGTTCTAGCTCTTCTGAAAGCAATTTTGAAATGTTTAGAGTTGGATATGACTCTATTAATGAAAGTAAAACCTAAAATGAGTATTCTAGTTTTCAGTTAACTCATATTAATCAGTCCAGCTGGTGTAGCTCAGTGGTTGTGTAGACCCATGCACCAAGAGGTTGCAGGTTCGATTCCCCGTCAGGACACATGCCCAGGTTGTGGGCCGCATACCCAGTGAGAGGCATGCAGGAGGCAGCCAATCAATGTTCTCTCTCATCAATGTTTCTGTCTCTCTCTTCCTCTCACTTCCTCTCTCTCTAATATCAATAAAGGAAAAAAAAATTTTTTTAAATCATATTAATCATCAAGTATTTATCAGATGCCCTTTTTTTAGTTTTCTATTGGAGTGGATTCTAATAAATTATAAAATAACAGTTGCTGAATATTGCATTAATAGGACTATTTATATGGAAAATCTTTGTTTTATTATTTTAGTGAGATTTTTTTTTTGTAGGTTCACACTGATAAAACTTACTTCGCAGTAGCTGAAAAAGGAGTTTCCCCAAAGATTATTATCTATGAATATCCTTCTCTGAGGCCCTACAGAATCCTTCGAGGTGAGTCCAGTAGAATCTTTAAAACACTGGTGTTCAAGTTTAACAACATTCTGAAGAACATGTAACATTATTATATCAGTCAGGGTCTTCCAGAGAATCAGAATGAGTACAAGATCAAAGAGATATATAGTCTCAACCCTAAGTCCTTGGAATCTACTATTTTTTCCCCCTTTATGTAAAGGAAATGGCTTATGCAGTTGTGGGGGCTGGCAAGTCTGAAGTTTGTAGGACATGCCTGTTAGGTCCGAGAGACAAGTGTTGAAGTCTCCAAATATCATAGTAGATTCATCCGCTTCTTCTTGAGGTTTATGTCTGTTTTTGCCTCATGTAGTTTGATGCTCCGTTGTTAGGGGCATACATGCTAATTGAAACCCTTTATCATTAGGTAATGCCCTTCTTTATCCCTGATAATTTTCCTCACTTTGAAGTCTGCTCTGTCTGAAATTAGTAGAGCTACTCCTGCTTTCTTTTGATTAGTGTTAGGAAAGTATATTTTTCTCCGAACATTTACTTTTAATCTACATGTCTTTATATTTAATATATAGTTGGGTCATGTTTTTTGATTCACTGTGACAATCTCTGTCTCTTAATCGGAACATTTAGACCACTGACATTCAAAGTAATTATTTATATAGTTGGAGTAATATCTGTATTTGTTAGTTTTCTATTTGTTGTCCTTGTACATTGGTCCTGGTTTTTTCTTTCACTTTTTCCCCTTGCCTTTTGTGGTTTTAATTGAGTATTTTATATTATTCCATTTTTTTCCTTAGCATATGTTATACTTCTTTTTTAAGCTTTTTTTGGTGGTTGCCCTAGAGTTTGCAATATACATTTACAACTAATCCAGGTCTACTTTCAAATAACATTATACCACTTCACAGGTAGTGTGAGTACCTTATAATAACAAAATAATCCTCATTCTTCCCTCCAGTCCCTTATATCACTGCTGTCTTTCATTTTTCTTATATATAAGCATACATTTATACATAAGCATCCATAATCAAATACATTGTTGCTATTATTATTTTGAACAAACTGTTATCTGTTACAACAATTAAGAATAAGAAAAATAAAAGTTTTAATTTTACTTTCACATATTCCTTTGATGTTCTTCCTTTCTCTGTGTATATCTGAGTTTCTGACCTACCTTATTTTCCTTTTTTCTAAAGAACTTCTCAGCACTTTTTACGAGGCAGGTCTACTGGAAACAAATTTCCTCTATGTCCATCTGAGAAAGTCTTTACTTGTCACTCCTGAAAGGTAATTTTACTGGGTACAGAATTCTAGGTTGGTGTTTCTCTGGCCTTTAAATAATTTTATTCCATGTTCTCCTTGTTTGCATGGTTTGTAAGGAGTAATCAGATTATTATCTTGTTTCTTCTGTAAGTAAGGTGTTCCCTGCTCCCGCTTCTAGCTTCTTTCAAGACTTCCTTTATTTTTCATTTTCTATAGTTTTGGGGGTGATTATCCTGATTGGTGTTCTCTGAGCTTCCTGGATCCATGGTTCAGTGTCTGACATTACTTTTGGGGAAGTTCTCTGTCATTACTGTTTCAAATATTTCTTCTGTTCTTTTCTTTCTTCTCCTTCTGGAATTCCCATTACACATATGTTAAATCTTTTGTAGTTGTCCCGCAGCCCTTGGATAGTCTGTTCTGTTTTTATCCACCTTTGTTCTCTTTGCTTTTCAGTTTTGGAAGTTTCTGTTGACATAGACTTTCACTCAGAGATTGTTCCCTCCCCTGTGTCCAGTCTGCTACTAAGCCCATCAAAGGCATTCTTCATTTATGTTACAGGGTTTTTGATCTCTAACATTTCTTTTTTGTTGTTGTTGTTCTCTCTTAGGATTTCCATGTCTCTGCTTACATTGCCCATCTGTTCTCTTTTATTAAACTTTTTAAAAAAGGTTTTTATTGATTTTGGAGAGAGAGGAAGGAAGAGGGAGAAAGAAAGAAACATCAATGGGAGAGAGAAACATCCATTGGCTGCCTCCTGCACACCCCTTACGAGGGATTGCTCCCACAACCCAGGCATGTGCTCTGACTGGGAATCCAACGGGCAGCCTTTTGGTGCATGAGATGATGCTCAACCACATGAGCCACACTGGCACGGCTTGCCCATTTGTTTGTGTTATCCATTAGAGCCCTTAGCATATTAATCATGGTTGTTTTAAATTCTTGATCTAATAATTCCAACTCCCTGCTGTGTCTGGTTCTGATGCTTGCTCTGTCTCTTCAAACTGTGTTTTATGCATTTGGTATGCTGTGTAATTTTTTCTGGAGAGCCAGAGGTGATATACTGGGTAAGAAGTTCTTTAAGTAGGTCTTTAGATGTGATGATAAGGTGTAGGAGGAGGGGAAGTGTCCTATAGTCCTATGATTAGGTCTCTATTTTTAGTGAGCCTGTGCTTCTGAACTGTGAACTTTGTAAATGTTTTTCAGTATATATATATTTTTTTTTATCCTCACCCAAGGATACTTTTCCATTTTTTGTACAGATAGAGTGGGAGGGAGAGAGAGAGGGAAACATCGATGTGAAAGGGACACATCGAGTGGCTGCCACCCGCACGACCAACCAGGGCCGGGGACAAACTGCAACCGAGGTACATGCCCTTAGTGGGAACCGAACCCGGGTCTCTCCGGACCGCAGGCCGACGCTCTAACCACTGAGCCAAACTGGCCAGGGTGTTTTTCAGTATTTTTGTACCCCCAAGGTGGGACAGGATGACTAGAGTGGGCTTGGGTTGGGGACAGGCATACCTTGGGGATATTGCAGGTTTGGGCCCATACTACTGCAATCAAGCAAATACCGCAATAACGTGAGCTGTGATCTTTTTGTGGGTGGAGGGCTTGTCTTCAGTTTGTATAACTGAAGCATCTGTGAAGTGTGTTAAGCAGAGTGCAGTAAACAAGTACACCTGGGTTTCAGGTACATTCTCTTTATACTCCAGAATCATGGGTGCTGGTTAATTAGTTTCTCCTGAGGGCAGGTCTTATTCAGCACAGAGTGCTGGGGGAATTTCCAAAGACTCCTTTTCCCCTCCCCTGGAAGTTTCTGTTGACATAGACTCTAACTCAGAGATTCTTCCCTCCCCTGTGTCCAGTCTGCTACTAAGTCCATCAAATATTTATCATGGGAACCTGGTCAAGCTCTTGGAGGAAAATCTCACAATATTGACGGGGTCCCCTGAAGTTTTTAACTCTCAGATCTGTCCACACTGAGCTTCCATCAATTCATCTGTTATAGTTCAGGTTTCTATCCTGACACTGTTTGGCTGTTTTTACACCTGAGTCTCTGCTCTGGTAAGTTGCAAATCCCTGTATTTACCTGTCAGTTTTCCAGTCTTGGGGGTAACAGTTTGCTCTATGTCCTGTGGACCCAAGAAGAGTTGTTGATTTTTCTTCAGTCTGTTCAGCTTTTTACTTGTTGTTAGGATGGAGTTGTGAATTCCTAGTTCCTTATGTGGAAACCTGAAGTCATCAGCTTTTATTTTGTGATTGTTTTTTCCAGTGGCAAATTTTAAATTATAGGTTGAGTTCTTTCTGCTAACATGCTTTTGTGCTCCCCTTACCCACTATATAAAATGGAATATTTTCTCAGGTTGATTATCTCATGCAAAATGTAATTTAGATTTATTTACCCTCCGCCTCATATTATGTAGTTCTTTCTAAAACCGAAGATGATGAATGATTTTTATAATTATTTATTTAGGGGATTCTTGGCATTCTTCCATCAATACACATCATCAAGGAGGCACATTCTCTCTCTCTCTTATTCTGTCTCTATATCTCCTGTGTGTGTTTTAAATAATACACTTTTTTTTTTAATCCTCACCTGAGGATGCTTTTTGCATTCATAGAGTGAGAGAGAGAGAGGGAGGAAGAGAGAGAGACACATCGATTGGCTGCCACCCACACAACCCCAACCAGGGCCAGGGACAAACTGCAACTGAGGTACGTGCCCTTAGTCTCTCCGGACTGCAGGCTGATGCTCTAGCTGCTGAGCCAAATTGGCCAGGGATTAAATAATACACTTTTGAAAATGAAATAAATGTTGCACCTGTTCATTACTCAACATTCATCCTTGCAGATGGGACTGACCTGGTCTATGCTTACGTGGACTTTAACTACAGCGGCACATTGCTGGCTTCTGTTGGTGGCAACCCTGATCACACACTGACCATCTGGAATTGGAGAGAGGAACAGCCCATACTGAGGACAAAAGCTTTTTCCCAGGAGGTTTTTAAGGTTACTTTCAATCCTGAAGAGGATGCACAGCTCACCACAGCAGGGTCAGGCCATATCAAGTAGGTTGTGCGACTGAAACAGGTGCTGCCAGATTATAGTTAGGGTATTTTCTAAGAGGATGGACCAGCTGGAGACATTTTTGCTGATGTTAACATTAGGATACGTTTACTGTGTTCTTTTTAAAGCTAACTAGTAGCCTAGCTGTTCTGATTTGATACGAGGACTTATTACTGCAGACAGCACAGGTAAAAGAAGGGCTTTTACATCTAGTCGGCTGCCTTTTTGGAGGCTTTATCTCCTAAAACAGTTTGTATATTTTCATCCTAACATTGGCATGGTATTTTCAAATTCATGATTGTACCTTCACATTTACTCTTAAATTTGTTGTTCATAGCAAGATTGTAACGGAGATGTCATTTCGGCATCTCTGAACTCCGTCTTTATCTGTTGTAACACAAATTACAACAGAATCATTCCTGACACAGGCCCCTCAATACTAAAGAGTAGCAGAACTTACTCTTGATCTCAGGTCTTTGACTCTAAATTCTGTATCTTTTTCACTATCTCATATCCTGTTCTATTTCCAGGATGGAAATGATTTTGTCCTTTTTTTTTGTTTTGTTTTACCCTGTCTCATGCATTTATTAAACAATCTTCTACCACTACCCTCAAGCTGCGCATAACATGATTCCAGTGTCTCATTATGAAATATGTTTTTTATGTATGCTAAATGATTCTTATTCCAGTGAAACCTGGTCTTCTTATTCATTCATTAGAAATATAGAATAATTGGACATATTTTTAAATGCAATCTTGGAGGAATTCTCTAGTAACCCTTTGCTAGCTATACGCTAAAAATGTGCATTTCCTTACATTTCCCCATCATTTAATAAAGTGCATGTTTTCTGTGCACTGTATCTTTGGGGAAAGATAAACATCAAACACAATCATGTGTGAATTGCTGTAAGAGAAACACAGACCATATGGAAACAAATGATCAGGGGACCTACCATGTCCTTGGAGAAGAAATTTGGTCACTTAGGTTTTGGCTTCATATTGTTGGCTTGTTGATACCTTCCATTATCTATTTTATATCCAGTTGATAGGCAAGATTATTTTTCTATGTGGTTTTTATCATTCTGACTGTACATTTGTTTAGACTATTAATAAGACCATGTTAGTGATAACTAACATTTATTTTATGATTGCTTTTATGTGCTAGGCACTGTTCTAATAATTTTTCAACAATTTTATGAGGTAGGTGCTACTAATATTCCCATTTTATACACAAGAAAATGAAGGCACACTGTGGTCAAGAAAGTAACTTAAAGTTACGCAGCAAGTAAACTGGAATTTTGGGAAAACATTTACGTCCTCTAGAACATTATTATCCAGTAGAACTTTCTGCCAGGGTGGAAGTGTTCTGTGCTGTCCAGTCCAGTGGACACTGGCCATGTGGAGCTATAGAGCACCTGAAACTGGCTGGTCTGACTGAGACACTGACTTTTAAATTTTATATAATTACTTTAATTCTAAATTAATCCAACTTGGCTAATGCTTATGGCGTAGCACAGCACAGCTCTAAAATATAAGAGCTACAAAGGCAAGGACTTTTGTTTGTTTATTTTGCTCAATGCTGAATTCATATTGCCTAGAACTTCACCTGACAGGTAGTAGATCCTTCATGCATATTAATAGGATGAATGGATATAAATGTAACATATGTGACTGACATATATAAATGCTTGGATCATATTAAAATTTTAAAAAAGTTATTTGAGACAGGTACATTCAGTCTTTCTTGTCTGCAGATTCTGGGAAATGGCTGTAACATTCACTGGTCTCAAGCTTCAGGGTTCACTAGGTCGATTTGGCAAAACAACGACTAGTGATATAGAAGGTTACATGGAGCTCCCAGATGGGAAGGTGAGTACAGCCTCTATTCTACAATAATAAGCTTTTATGTACATATGTTGAAAACATTATATATGTTTCAATTACACATATGAAGGCGTACTATACATTCTAAAAAGCACTCCCAATAATTAGCAATAACAAATACTATAATTGTGAATATAGTGAACATTTAATTTTGCCTCAAGATTATCAATTTTAATTAATATATTTCCATGAAATTATCATAAGCCACATGTACATATTATTCACTGGTTCTATTTTTACTGAGTATTATACACACATAAAGTATGCAAGCATTTTCATATATTAATATAGTGGCATACTTGTCACTTTAATTGTGTCATGGAGTTGCAATGTTTATATTGTTTATCTTTCTCCTCTCTTTTCTTTGCCATGATGCTTCCAGAGGATTTACTGGGTCAAAGGTTATATACTGTCTTGTGGCTTTTGTTTTTACTGTCAGATTATTATTCAGCAAGATTGAGCAACTTTATGGTAATAGCTGCAATACTGCAACTATAATTCATTATTCTTAATTAAAAATTTAAATTAATTCTAATAATTAATTAATTTTTATTACATATATTTCTCCTTCTTCCCCCACTGACACCCTCCTCCCTGCCCCCCCCCCTTCACATTATTGTCGTCAATGGCCATTGGTTATGCACATATGCATTTAAGTCCTTTGGTTTATCTCTTCCTGCTACCACCACTTTCACCACTCCCTTCCTCTGAGGTTTGTCAGTCTGATCCCTACTTCTATGTTTCTGGGTCTATTTTATTCATCACCTTATTTTGTTCATTATATTCTACAAATAAGTGAGATCATGTGACATTTGTCTTTCTCTTATTGACTTATTTCACTTAGCATAATATTCTCCAGGTCCCTCCATGTCATCTCAAAGGATAAGATATCTTTCTTCCTTACAGCTGCACAGTATTCCATTGTATATATGTACCACAGTTTTAAAATCTACTTATCTATTGATGGTCACAATGGTTTCCAGATCTTAGCAATTGTAAATAGTGCTGCTATGAACATAGGGGTGTATATATTCTTTCTGATTGGTGTTTCAGACTTCTTAGGATATATTCCTAGAAGTGGGATCACTGGGTCAAATGGCAGTTTCAGTTTTAATTTTTTGAGAAAATTCCATATTGTTTTCCATAGTGGCCGCACCAGTCTGCATTCCCATCAGCAGTGTACTAGAGTCTCCTTTTCTCCACACCCTTGCCAGTGTTTGTTGTTTGACGATTATTTTAAAATTCATTGTTTTTCTTTATTGATTTTAGAGAGAGAGGAAAGGAGAGGAAGAGAGAGATGGAAACATCCATGAGAGAGACCATTGATTGGCCACCTCCTGCATGCCCTCCACTGAGGTTTTGGCCCATAACCTGGGCATGTGCCATGACCAGGAATCAAACTGGTGACCTCTTGGTGCATGGGTTCATGCTCAACCACTGAACCTCACTGGCCAGGCATTGTTTGATGATTTTTGATGGTGGCCATTCTGGCAGGTGTGAGATGATACCTCATTGTTGTTTTAATTTGCATCTCTCTGATGATTAGTGATGCTGAGCATTTTTCATATGTCTCTTGGGCATTTGTATGTACTGTTTGGAGAGGTGTCTATTTAGGTCCTCTGCCCATTTTAATTGGATTCTTTGTCTTCCTTTTGTTGAGTTGTATGAGTATTCTATATATCTTGGAGATTAACCCCTTATCTGATGTATCATTGGCAATTATGCTGTCCCATATAGTGGATTCCCTTTCCATTTTGATGCTTGTTTCTTTTGCTGCGAAGAAGCTTTTTAGTTGATGTAGTCCAATGTGTTCATTTATTCCTTTGTTTCTCTTGCCCTAGGTGATATATCAGTGAAAATTCTGCTGTGTGTGATGTTTGAGATTTTGTTGTCTACATTTATTCTAAGATTTTTATGCATTCATGAATGACATTTAAGACTCTTGTCCATTTTGAGTTTGTTCTCGTGTATAGTGTAAGTTGGTGGTCTAGTTTTCTTTTTTTGCATGTAGCTGTCTAATTTTCCCAACACCATTTATTAAAGAGACTGTCTTTACTCCATTGTATGATCTTGCCAACTTTGTCAAATATTAGTTGAGCATAATGTCTTGGGTCAATTTCTGGGTTCTCTGTTCTATTCCGTTGACCGATATGCCTGACGGTCAGGCCCAAGGCTCAAAGCCTTCAGAATCTCATCTCTGCCTACTGGCTTGCTGGTAGTTTGGCTGTTAATACTTTAAAGTAACAGGTTGTACTTCTCCAGGCCTGGTGGTGTTAAATTCTCGAGAGAGGGGCAGTTGCTTCTCCCCCAGGCTACAGCTGCTCTGGGAGGGGGCTTTTTGGGAAATATGGCTACTGTCTTGTAGAGGAGTGATTCAGCATAGAGTTTCTGATGGCCTCCTTCCCAGCTTTCTCTTCAGTGCCATGAATCCCCAACTCTCCCCATACAGTTCCAGTCCAGTCTGCCCTCCCTCTGCTGGAGCCCAAGGTAAATGGCTGTAGCTGTAATTTAGTGCACTGACCCTTCAGGGAAGTGCCTGTGTTCCCTGCACCTCTCCCTGCTGGACAAAGCCTCTGCTCTGATGATTTTTCTCAGCCAGGTGTTATATGGGCAGCTTTCCCTGTTCTGCCACTCTGTGCTGGGGAGCTGGCTTGGGGTTTTAACCCCCAACTTGTCAGAGAGAACTGCTCACAGCTAAGACAGCCCTCAGCTGATGCCCGTGGGCACCCAGCCAGTCCTCTTGTGCCTCCACAGCTCCTACCAGTCTTGATTTGGGGTCCTCTTTACATCCCTGGTTGTAAGGCTTCTCTCCAGCTGCTCTTCAGTTGTTTTTTCTACATGACTTCTCTTTATTTTAGTTGTAATTCCAGTTTTGTCCTGGGAGACAGTCTGTATAGCTTCCATTAACTCCATTGACATTTTGGATCTCCTCAAATTTCTTGTAATTCCAGAACATCAGGCTGTTTTCTGCAATATGGGGTGAGAAGTGAGAAAGCCAAATCTTTGCTTCAGTTACACAAACTTCCTCTCCATTATTTTATTTTTAATAGATTACTTTCTCTCTTACAAAATTTATAGGGATATTGCCTATAGAATCAGTTATTCATTAATATTGTATTTGGTTTCCTATTAGGATTAGTTATTTGTGATCATCTAAATTATAAGCAAATGCCAGAGTACAAATATTACTCTCAGGAACAAATGGTCTAGTTCTCTATCTAGTGGGATATTCTTAATTCGAAGTCATGGTGAGTAGCAAGAAATAAGAAGCATTGGGTGCTGGCTATACTATAGTATATCCAGACTTATAGGATGATCATAAATTATTCCACCTTCAAATTCTGAATATTGTAAGAATTAAGCTACATAAAGATTAATATAATCTTTGTTAAAAACATGGTATGAGATATATTTTTTAAAGGTTCAGTAGAGTTTGTGTAGATGTAGGAGAGAGAAGAAGTATTTTTAAGTAAGAGAGCCACAAAAGGAAATGTTTAGCATTAGGAATAAATAATCAGATATTTAGAGGGATTATTAGAATAAAGTATTCACATTGGGAAAGAGTGGGAAGTTAGCTTGAGAAGTGTGGTTCGATCCTAGTGTATGCAGGGGTTTAATAGCCAGGCAGAACTATTACATATTGGAAGAGTAGAGTCGCAAATGAAAGAAGTTATATATAAGTTTGGCCACACAATGCCAGGTGAATAAGAGAAAGGGAAATCCGGAGTCAAGGAGACAAACTATGAAGGAAGATGTTGTCTTCCTCTAAGAAGAGGTGGTGAAGACCTAGACTTTTCTCAGGACAAATGGGAAAGAAAAGCTGGACATGAATGACATTTCAGAAAAGAATACCCTAAAGGCTTTGTTGACTTTTGGTGGCTTTATTCACTGGACAGAAGAAACCAAGTCTAAATAAATACTTTACCACAAGTGGGCTGAAGCTTCATAGTAGGCAAAATAGATAAGAACAGGTAGACAAAGAGGTAGAAAAGAGTGAGTGAGGTTGTAAGTTACTCCAGGTGAGAGGGAAGTGGGGATGCAGAATCCTAGAGTGAGCAGGCAGGAATTAGTTTCCCAAAGGGCATTTCATGAAACATTAGTCTGCACAGCAGCTCCATGAAAATAAGAGTCCCTCTTCAAATTCCTTCTTGGTGATTCCTTTTGGTGATTCCCAATGAATACTTTTGTGTTAAAGCATCCAAGGAGTCCTAGAAAAAAAGAAATGTGTTTAACTCTGTTTACCGCAGCATCTGTCTTCTGAGGCATGGGTAGTCAGAACAGGAGCTTTAGAGCCACTGTGTGTGGGTTAGCATCCTGACCCTTCTGATTAATTTTGGGCAAGATACTTAAATGTTCTATTCTTCCATTATTTTCCTTTTGTAAAATGGGGATAATAATAGTCAGGACATCCCCTGGCTCATATGGTTTTATGTGAAGAGAAAAGCTCTTTCTCCTGGAAAAATAAAGTGCCTGACTTGCACAACTGGACATGTTATCTCCAATAAATGTACCTAGTTCATATGGTTCTTAGGATTAAATAACTTTATGTAAAGTGCTCAAGCAGTTCTCAGCCCAGAGTAAATACTCCATTAGTATTAACTTTTTAGGTAACACATGTTAAATGTCCCATATTTAAAAAGTAGAATCTCATCTATCAAGAATTTTAAACATACCTCTAACTTTTCTTTTTTTTTTAATGAATAAACTTTATTTTTGGAAGACTTTAAGATATATAGAAAAAATAATCAAATAACAGAGTTCATATATACTATCCCCCACATAATTTCCACATATTATTAAGATCTTACATCATTATGTAATATTTGTCATAGTTAATGACTTAGTACTGACATAGTATTATTAACTAAAATCCATAGTTTATGTAAATTTTCATAGTTTTGATGTAATGCTTTTTTTCTGTCTCAGAACTCCATCTATGATACCACAGTGCCTATGACAATTATGTCTCCTTAGGTTCATCTTGG